AAAAAAAAAAAAAAAAAAGAAGCAATTTTTGTCCTTTCTTAAAGAATTTAGAGTTAAAAAAAATTTGCTGCGCTACAGCTCTGTCTTTGCTTCTGTTTACGTCCTTTATGTGGTTGTTTAAACCTGTGGACGCTTAACACAGCAACTGGCACATAAATTCTTCCTGAGCCTTTTGAGATCTCGTAAAATTCTTCCTGAGCCCTTTTGAGATCTCGTATATCAGATCTTATTTTGGTTCTTAGAAACGCTCTTTCCTGCAACTTATTCGCGTTCGGCTTCTCTTTGATGCAGTTGTAAACACGGAATGTGGACGATACGCCTATATCTTTGTGGGTTCGTTTTTGACTGAGTGGTGGAGAGTGAGAAGCAAAAAATTGTTTAGCTGCTATTTGTATAAATTATATTTTTTTTATCTGTAGCACCTAACAGCCAAATATTTTTCCGTATGCTTTGTAAGCCACTTAGGACTGCTTAGACGATCACTGTGATCTATCAGTGTCACGGATTGGTGAAGATCTGACATCAAATTATCTATAACTTTTGTTTATTGTAATTTTTGTTTTGATTATACCTTCATGGAACATTTTTCTTGTTGTAATTTCAGCTAGCAGCGCGCAAGATACCTTTGACAAACGGAAGTGGGGGCGAAAGAATTCTTTTAAATTAGTGCCAAAAAAGCGAGTATGAACTGCAGTTGTAGGGCTGGCCAAAAATATCATTTTAACAGCGTATACTTTTAGCACAAACAGTAACAACTATATAAATAAAATGGAACTTATTTTTGGCTTAGTTGAGTTAATCTTATCGAAATTTTATCGTTTACTAGTGGATTTTTTCTACCGTTTTTTATTGTGCTGAGTCTTTTTTTTTTGACTGTGTTCTTTCCTTCTCTTTCATCTTTTTTTTCTCTTCTTTTTTTCTTTTTTTTTCTTTTTCTCTTTTCGTATTTTTTGTATAATTTAATCGTTTGGCATGTTGTTCTCCTCAGGGTTTTTGGTATTTAGAAGAGCTGTCTGTAATGACTTTAGATCAAAAATTATCTGGAGAAAAGAAGAAGAAAACTTTTTTTAAGGAACCATGTTTGAAATGTGATTATCTGTATTTTGTTTATGTTTCTGTATATTTTTCGCCTTACAGTTGCTTGTTAATGAGCGGCTTTGCATCGTCGCTTCTAAATAGGCTCCATGACATCGTTTCTGGTAGTACTTCTGTTATACATAGCTCGATAAATCGTGGTGATGGTGTAGTCCCCGGTCCTTCTGGAGTAATGCAGGCTACGGTTAGTTTACGCTTTATTACCTTTTTTTTTCTTCGAAACGATTAACGTTGCGTTGCTGTAACCTTTAACAAGAAATTTAAAAATGCAGTTTCTGCATTATAAGTGAGTGAATTTTTTAACGACATCCTTGTTAATGAAACAGGTGTTTATCTTAATATAACCTGTGATTTTCTGGATGTTAATGCTGCAGTCTTTTTCAGGGATTTCTTTTTAGCTACGATTTGCAAATGTTAATTTTTAGAGTCTTGTAATGAAGGAAAAAAATTTTTTTTGACCAATTGTTTCATGTTTAATGCTGCTCTAATTAAACTTTTTCATGAGGAGGGAAACTTCTTTTGAAGTTTGACTTGTTCGTTATTTTCAGGATAGGCGAATATTAGAGAAAACCTTTAGAGTCATGGACAGTGTTGTGAAGCAATGTCAGCAACCGAAACTAAATCTCAAAAATTCTCCCCCGTTCATACTTGATATACTACCTGACACATATCAACATCTCTCGTTAATGTTTGCGAAAGAACCAAACTGCTTGAAAGACAACCTCTATCTACAGCTTTTTTTAGAAAACGTTCAGGTTAAGTGTAAAAAGGTTGGTTTTTGGTGATTATGACCAGAAACTTAAATATAGTTACTGGTTTTTCCAGTCATTTATTATTATTCGCTGTGTGCTTATAATGTGTTTATAACAGTTGTTTCTGTAGAGTATGCTCTTATAGAAAATTACTACTCTGCTTTTTTCTTCGTTGAAGAATTTTGAAATCTAAGCGAAAGAAGTATTACTTACTCTTTGATCTGTTTCGACAATGCGTTCAAGGCTTACGTCATTAAATAAGTTTAGTTTTTTCTGCTTATCATATATCATTTTTTTAAAGACTTTGAAGTTATTCAAAGAAGGAAGAGACCAAATTTACAACGAACGTTCGTCTGCGCGAAGGACGCTAACAAAGTTATCACTAATTTTTTCGCACATGCTCGCTGAGTTGAAAGCTGAGTTTCCAGAGGGTGTCTTTATTGGAGAAAATTTCCGAATCACCAAAAAAGATGCTGATGAGTTTTGGAAAGCATCATTTGGAAATAGGTAACTTGCTGTCCTGACTTGCTGCATCTTTTTTTGTTTTGTTTTAAATGTGCTTTCGTTTTATTTGTCTTATTTTCTCGACTTCCCAGTTTCGTTTATTGAGAATTGATTGCTCGAGTACAAACTTTAGATTAGAGGGTTATAATTTTAAAAAAGGTTGTTATTATTATTTCAGTTAACTCGGTTTTTTTCACATAGTGGAGGCTACAGAGGCGATTAGGCGTAAGAAAGATGTTAAGGCTAAACTAGGATTTTTACAGCTTTGTGGGCGGAGACGGAAAAAGTCAAGTTTAAGAGGCGAAAAGTAATATTACTGGGGTGGAGGGGTTCAGCGAAGAAATGGAAGTCTGCAAACGCATTGTAGTCATTTTCTAAGGAAACTTGTAGGCATAGTTTTGCAGTTAATTTGGAAGCGATATTATGCCAGTGGTTATTTCTAGTCTTTGCAAACTTAATTAGGCGAATTTAAGTCAAAGTTGTATTTAGAAGCTTATGGAGATTTTGTTAGTCAACAGCTTTGGGAGAATTATTTTTTTGACAAGAAAATTTGAATTGAAATCCCGTTGTAATTTCTGAAAGTGTGAAATTTAAAGTCCTAAAAGCCACTTTAAAAAAGTTTTGGAGGATTTGTATAAAAATTTCTAGAGAAGCATCTTAACAATTTTTTGAATAGTATTTAGCAAAAAGTACTTTTAAGATGCCGTTCAGATGTGATGAAGTTTATTTCTAGTATTTTATATTCTCGCTCATTTTTCTATATAAGTAATTTTTTAATCTAACCTTCCCAATTCTTTTTACATGTTCTTGCAGCCTATCGGTAGAATGCATAAACTCTAACTCACTGTTATAAAGTTCAGTTAGGCACTAGACTTTGATGTAGTTTCATAGCTTTTAATTTAGAAACTTATAATTTCATTTTTTTTAATTGATTTTTTATCGTTTAGGAGTTTTGGAAACTGAAAGAGATTTAAAATTTACTGGTGTATCTTTTTGGGCATAAGAGTTTTTTCTTTTTTTCTCTTTTCTTCTCTTTTTTTCTCTTTTTTTTTGAATGACAAACTGGTCAGCTGTATCTTATAAGTCAGCGTTTGAAGAACGATTAGAAAAATTGAAAGGAAGATGGATTTGCATCATAAGCTGACTAACTGTGCTCAAGTTTGTTGAAGAGAATAATTAATGTATGGCAGAAGGAAGTGCACTTTTGTTATGATGACTTATGTTTTTTTCTTTTTAATGACAAAACATTTGACTGCAAATTCTGGACTACAATAAATTTATCTGAGAATATTCGTTTTGACATTTTAGCTTTCTATATTTCTTAAAATATTACAAGGTATTCGTTTTGCTTTGAGATATCAGATAATTAAATGATTTAGGACGACTGTTCACTGGCTTGAGTTCCGAACAGCACTAAACAAAGTTCACCCGTTAAATGCTGGCCTTCAAACTTTAGCTTTGAAATCCACTATTGATCTTACCGTAAATGAATATATTTCTAATTTTGAGTTCGATGTATTTACACGGTAAGTTATTCAAGAATATTCTTTCGAAGAAATATTTTGATCTGCAGTATTTTTTACAGTTCTTCATTACTAAACTTATGTGTTTTTTAATTTTTAATTGTTATTGGCAGGTTATTTCAACCGTGGAATACACTTATTCGTAACTGGCAGCTTCTTGCCGTTACGCACCCAGGTTACGTCGCCTTCCTGACGTATGATGAGGTGAAACAGAAGTTACAGAAGTATATTAATAAACCTGGAAGGTTAAGGTTTACAGTTATTAATTAGGATATTTTGTGATGTATTACCAAATACCATTCCTTTTGAGTTCTGAAAACTTGATTATTTTAGTTACGTCTTCCGCTTAAGTTGCACGAGGTTGGGGCAGTGGGCAGTTGGTTATGTGGCTCCTGACGGAAAAATTTACCAAACTATTCCACAGAATAAATCTTTAATACAAGCTTTAGTGGACGGCTGGAAGGAAGGCTTGTAAGTATCATAGTATCGGTTTGAATAACTTTTCTTAATTTACTGTGTAACATTTTCTATTTATGAAGTTACCGGTACCCTGATGGCAGAGAACGCAATCCGGACTTAACTCACGCTCTGCAGTCTTGTCCTGAAGGGCATTTGAAGGTATTTTTTGCTTATGTCGCTTCTGCTTGATATCTAGTCTTCTGCTTATTTGGTCTTTTGAAATAATATTTTTAGATAGGAAGCTTTTGAAGTCTTCTAATCTTTCCCAAATTGTATGTTTACTTGGGTTTGAACTAACATTTGTGTTTCGATGGGTGTATTAATTTTTAGATGGAGTGCTAAAAAATACAAGAGGAATTAGCTAAAAAGTAATATCTTTCGTTTCTTACTCTTATATTTTTGGAAAAACTGGAAGTATGCTATGGGGAGCTGTGTTTGTTTACAACATTAGCTGATTGTAGGTGAGGATTCGAACCCTGAATAAAGTTAAAAGGATGGTAGGCGAATCAAAATTAGCACTAAACGTTTTTCGATTTCTGTGAGGAACTAATAAAAATATATTTTCTTGTTTTTTCGGTTTTTGCCGCATTAAATGTAAGCCAAAAATAAATACTAAGCGGGATAGAAATACTACTTAAATCTTAGGCGTTGCAGCAGTGCCACTTCTAAAATGCAAGTTTTATTCTTCTTCGAAACAAACATGCTTTAGACCCGTATACAGTTATTTTACAGTTATTTTACCGGGAATTTGAAACTCATTAATTTCATTATCGGGCTTACGTCTCTCATATAATTTTCTTGTTCGAAAAACTAGTGGTAAACGGTTATTCCATGTCGTTTCAGGAACTTTTCAGTTGCCCTTGGGTTTTTTTAAATTTTATAGGGTTCTAGGACTTAATTCTCCATTTTAAAACCGAAAGAGAGTATTTCTGGAAGTCCACAGGCGATAAACTTAAATCGTGCGGAAGGTAGAAAGACGCAGTTTTTGCCTAACGTGGTCACTTTGAGAGGTTGTAATTTGGTTTTTTTCGTGGTAGATTTTCAAAGTTTCCCTCCTTTTTAGAGGTTCATTCTGTGATTTTCAGAAAAGTGATGAAATGTTTATGCCGGTGGAATATCCAAAAAGTGGCAGTTACAAAAAATTGAAAAATTTTTTAATGAAAAACAGTGTTTTCAGTTTTTTTGAAAAAATATATCTTTCTAAGATATAACTCGAGTACGACATGCTAAAATTGCGTGGTGACATATTGGCAGCGTCACGAGTTACGACAGTGTGAGTGTGGCTGCAAGAAGTCTTCATTTGGCCCCTCGGCAAGTGGGAGTGTACTAGTTTCAAATGACTTATTACTGTATTGTGACATCGCTTAATCCAGCTAGCTTAGTTACAGAAATTTAATCAAGCATTTTTACTGGCGAATATTTTAAATGAAAATTTCCAGAAGCAGCCACTGTTGTTACTTTTTGCATCTAAAGTGCATTGTTATTTCACGGAAACCTTTTAACTCGCATACGCATTACCCATTGCCGATGTCTAGCAGCGAAATATTGTTTTGCTGTAATCCTCTCAGCATTGCCCTGATTTTTAGCATTGCTGGAAACCATATAATAATAGTTCAAGAAATTACAAAGGGTTACAGTTGGAAGGACACGTGAGCTACATAATTTGCCTATTTACAACTTGTTTGAAAGAAATTCCTGCTTTTTTCTTGGCTTTCACCGTCTATGATCCTGAGGTAGCCTTAAAAATGAATATTTAGCCCTGCACTTATTGCAACATCAATTGTTTATTTTTCCGAAGTAGCACTTTCAAGAAATACATTTAATTTTTGACAGGACTATATCAGAACACAAAGTTTGGAGAGAACTTAGTGTTAACGGCTAATGACGGCCAGAAGTAGGTGCTCTACGCTCGCAGTTTTCATCTTTAGGAAAGCATTTAAAGGGAAAATCATTTTGGAATTGCGGTTACATGCAGACGTACTTGTTGCAGGTACTCAGAAATTTCACCGTTTCACAGAGTGTTTGGTTGGAAGTAATACGACAAAAAAATTTTCGCTGTCAGAGACGACATTGGGCACTGAGAAATAGAGTTACGAAACTTTTTCCGAAGCAATGCATTGTAGGTGCAAAAATTAACTATCATAATTTTTTACTGGAATCTCGTTTAAATTACTCTATAACAAATAAAAAGTATCGTTTCCAAGCTACCGAAAGTGAAGCATGTTACAGTATAAAAGGGTTCGTTTGAGACTAGAACACTACTAGTTAAAAAAGCACGAAAACATTGCGCCAAATGAAGATTTTCTGCAGCTTGGCTATATTCGTCCCAACTAGTGACACTGGCAAGGTGCGACCAAGCAGTTTTAATACTAATAGTCAGGTTATATTTTTGAAAGGTAGAATTTTTTTGAAAAGTTTCAAACGTCAAATTAAAAAATATGGCTTTTCCAATTTTTTGTAACTTTTTTCTTCAGTATAAGCACTTCATCACTTTTTCGGAAATGCAAGTGAGGTGGGCTTCCGAAAAAGAGGGGAAGCTTAGAAATCCATTGTGAGTAAAAAAAATTATAACGTAGAACGACCACGTTAGGTAAAAATTGCCTTTTCAAGATTTGGCACGGCCCAACTTTGCCGCCAGCGTACTGCTAGAAGCGCTCTCTTTTGTTTCCACAATCGGGGGCCAGGTCTTACGAACTAAGCCGGCAGCACTTGAAAAAACCTGACGCCAGTTAAAAGCGTACGAAATGACATAGAACCACCTTGCTTTTAACATAGAGACACAATACGCTTACTCGACTTTGCAGATATGCTTAAACAGCGGCTTTGTTTCAATTAATTAACAAAGTTGTAAAAAATTCATTTATGCTTCTAGGTCACTCCTGAACAGTACCAAATTTACTGTGAAATGGGGACAACATTTGAATTATGCAAAATTTGTGCTGAGAACAAAAAGAATGTAAAATTAGAACCTTGTGGTCATTTATTATGCACTCCTTGTCTTCACAGCTGGCAGGTAATTATTTTAATTTGATTTTTGCTAGAAATAAAGCATTTTTTTGATTTTGCGCATGCTATCTTAGATGAAGTTTTTTAAATTTCGTTATATGGTTTTTTTATAGAAATACAGGGACTTGCAGGAATCTGATGGCGGGAATGGGGGCAACACTTGCCCGTTTTGCAGATGTGAAATAAAAGGCACAGAAAAAATCATAATTGACGCTTACGATCCCCGCGAGAAAAGTCCTCAAGTCGGTTACGAAGCGCTAGTGGATATTAGCAGTTCCGATAATGTGGTTTGTGCTAAATAATTTAATAGCTTGCTTGGACACTTAATAGTTTCTCACGTTTGATTGCCCAGCTGCTTTAAGCGAAAAACGTGGCCACCTCAAGAAGCAGTCCCGCCGCGACTTCCGCCTCCTCCGGTTCCACCTAGGCGTGAATCCCCGTCTGGTGAGAGCACACCGCCCTTGTCTCACAAGGCAATTACTTCATCGTCTTCAGCAAATGCTTTGTGTTCGTTGGTTTCTAAACAAAGTGCAGCAAGACTGAGATCGAAAAATGTTAGTAAAATTTTACTGTATGGTCTTTTTCCTTGTTGTAATCACCGGGAATTGTTTCGACAAGTATTTTTGCATATAGTAGCTTCTTTAACTAGGCGGAAACAAGTATTGTTTTTGATACTAAATAGATATGCTGTGTAAAATGATTTCAAATGCTTCTACACCTGTGGTTGTCAAAACTTTAGTTGGTTTCTTGAAACTTAATCTGCATTTAGACACCTGACATAAATGATCTTCAAGAAGTACCACGTGAAATTGCACCATCTGCGCTTTATTTAAATGTTTCAAATGTAACTAGTTTCCCTGAGGTTGGAAGTTTACCTATTGCACCGGATGCTGATTACATCAATACAAATGCTACTAATGGATAAAATTTTTGAGTAAGCGATTTATTATCTCGTTTCACAGGGATGGAATTGCTTAAGTTTGGACATTACATGCGATTTTAATGTTCAAAAGGAGTTTAAAGAGGGAATTTTTGGAAAGTGCTGTTCCTGAGCTTAATTATTTTAGGTTTTCCTGACCACGGGATTTTGCTCTTCACAAGAATTTTCCGTGTTCATAATTTAGACCATGCGCGTGGAGGACTATATACCACTGACCCTATGCTGTGTGGACAAGTTGATTCGAGTGGTGTTCCATATTGGAAAGGCCTCACTCAGAAAGTCTATAATTTCAAGTGAAGCGGTGTTACAGGTTTTGTGTCGCGGAATTCTTGCGAGAGTTGCTTGATGTTTAGTTTGAATTTTGTTTTAGGAGACTTTGTTTTTCATTAGTTCGAGCTTCGTTATTTATCATTGTCTTTATAGTTATTGTGATATTTATGAAGTTTTAGTCTACGGGTGGTTGGGTAAGTGAAGGCCAAGTCGGAAAGACGTCAGTGACGTTTTTAAATAGCTTAATGTATTTTTACGCTTGGTCTTTTCAGTTCTTTATTTTTTATTGATGCATAACACGGATTGCAGGGGTGGGAAAAAGTGAGGAGCAGGATGTTTGGCTGTTTTAATAAGCAACTTCAAGCCAGAGAATTGCTTCATCTCTGCTGATACTCTGGCCAATCGGATAATTTCATCCAAGTTTTGCATAATTGCTTTCAAAAAGTTTCCTGCTTCTAAAACTTTGCTTTCCTTTCGACACAAATTCATTTAAGTTATGCATTGCAACCGCTGTAATTATATTTACTTATTTTAATATTCCTTACACTTCTTTCCGTGATTTTTTCTTAAGATCTTGAACTCTCCTTCATGTTATCTTTTTCGTTTTTCAGGGGCTTTATGTTTTTCAACTTTTTGACCAGGGCCGTTTTAGGCTTCTGTAATTCTTAAAGCTTTTGGATTTGGCGTTAAATTGTCCATAAGGCAGAAAGTTTACTTACCTTTTTGGAAGTTAGATTAAAATATCGCAGTAAAGTATGTGTAATTAAAACCTACTTTGCCTAAGTGATTTCCTATTTTTTGCTTTGCAGTCTATCTTCTTTAACGGGTGCAGTCTTTCTTAGTACTATGAGAAGCTAGCGATGAAGTTGGAATTACAATTTGACATAACACTATTCCAAGGTCGCTTTTTTAGCCAGTCGTTCCATCTCTGAGCAAGCTTTTTCTCCTAATTTAGTCAACATATTGTTCCACTGTATAGTGCTTTATATGTACTGAAGTAGTATTAATATTGCCGGTCGTCAAGCTCAATTCTTCATTAATAATAATAATGCAGTAATCAAATGTAGTGCCATTTTATAAATGGTGGCACGAATATTTCTCGCGTTCGTCTTTGTATGATTTTTCGAAACATTAAACGTTAAATTTACTGTTATTAGATCTGGCTGTGATGGTTATGCGAACTGTGTGTAAGAAGTCTGCAATCTTCCCCTGCCCGAGTCATAAGCAGAGTTCTGAGCGAAATCCGCCGGCTTGTGTGGTTCCGCCGAAGTGAAAGCGGTTTTGAAAAATTTTGGGACATGAAGTCTGGTCTGGTTGTCCTTAACTTTCGCTAATTTGGTAAAGGCAGTGTGAAAAGCTCGCTGCTCTCACCTGAACTTGAAGTTTGTGAAGCATTAGCTATGTCTGAAGATTACTTACGAAGCTAAGTCAGCATCCGTATACAAGTGTCTTATTTCGTTTTTTGGAACAACAGTACTACTGGATAAGAAGCACATCAACTGGTGCTTCTTTTGAGCTTTTATTCGCACCCTATCTCAGTTCCCACCCCATAAGATATAAAAAGGCGCAGCTTTGAGAGATACTTAGCTTTCGAGCAAAGATAGGATGAAGTGCTAAGCTTCTGAGAACCTTCTAAAGAAATTAGTGGGGACAAAAGTCTCAGTTCGCGTCCGCTGACCGCAGGATGCCTCACATGGACGGGACGCGGGAGTACGCGCATAGGCGTCCTTGTATCCTAACTAATTTCATGGTTCGCTGTATTCAGAAACACGGATTCGCTAAATCCCAACACATTGTCGTCCCGCGTATTACCTTTTAAGACGAGGATGGCCTTAAGAGGTCCAAATGTTTTCCACAGTTGTGTTTTATTTTCTTCTGTGGATGTTTTGTCTGGAGTTCGGTAATTTAATACATGTGAAACTGCTTGAGACTAACAAATGCGGTACAACGATGACGTCTACAATGGAAAAAAAAGAGTTGGTGTTTCCACATAAAATCCATCCCACTTAAACATATATCTGAGTGTATATAACGCACTTTTTGATTTAGCTAAAGGAAATTGTGACGCTGCAAAAGGAACAACAAGGGAAGTCAAGAACCAGGCTCTACCGCTTAAGAAAAGGCCGTGCGACGGTAGCCGCAACTCCTTTTTTTCGAGCAGAAAAATCACATCATCCTTTGATGGCATGCCATTGCGTTTTTTGAGCTATTTAGCTAGCACCGTTGCAGCCGAGGACAGATAAAGTAGATGAATTTGAAGCCATATAAAAAAACCTATAGGTTTTCATGCGAAGGCATCAAGGTGGTTTTACTGAGAACGAATTTACCGTGAGCACACTCATCACTACAGAAAAAAGCAACCACAAAAGATTCGCTCTGCAAAATAGCGAGGCCTTAGAATACCGCTAAGCCAAGTGCTTGCCACTGCAACGGATCGCTCCGTTTATCTGAATAAAAAGTCCAAATTGTGACTGGAAGTAATTTCACAAATCATCCATCGGTTTGACGGTAAGAAAGCAGTCTCAGCGAATTTTGAAGCTTCCAAGGACAATCTCATTTTTCAGGTTTTCCGAAGGATTATTACCTACGCATAGAATTTTCACTGATTCAAATGCAAGCAGTGTTCTTCATTGTACTGAGAAATCATTAAGTAACTGGGACTGCTTTCCTTTCGAGTTCCCAAGGAGAAAACACATTACACTTAAGCTTCCACCATGAGGTTGAAACTGCCAGAGAGATTGTTCTTCCAAACAGTGGTCGCATCCTTCTTATAATTCCACTAGCTAGAGCTTCAAAAAACAAAAACCCGAGGCTCAAGGTCAGAAAACAAAATCCTAACCTGAACGTCAGAGAAAACTAAGGTATGGCGTGAAACCCAAACATAAGACTAAGCTAGGACTTAAGCCTTTTGTTAGAGCCAGGCTAAAGGTCCATGCCGACTTTGACATTGATAGGTGAACTCAAGCCTGATATGAAGACCAATCCCAATTTTAAATCCGAAGCCCTTGAGTGTGACAAGATTCTCCATTGAAGCAAGGATTAAAACTGAGCGTAAGCCACGGCTTTAGATCCAAAGTAAAACCAAGCAATAATCCCAACCGCTTGGAATTCGGACTTGAGTTTTGCTTGTCTTGCTTTAAAGGCCTGGTCTAATCTAGGGAGCTAAATTTTAGTGTTGCCTTAGTCCAATTCGAGTTTGCACATTGCCTTGATCTGCGCTTAAAGCTATGATCTAGCTTTAGACATGGCCTTACGCGCAGGACCCGGTCTAGTCAGCCTCAGACTCAAGCTCTTTGTTCACACTCCTGCGGTTTTCCCGGTCTCGACCAGCACAGCCGGAAAAAAAAGCAATCATTGTCTGAAAAGTTGTCTTTGGTAACTTTTAGTTCCCAATAAAAAACGAGGTACCATTCGTATTCCTCGCGTAATATTTCAACAGAAACGTCACTCTACGTCCCCAGCAGTCCACTGACATAGCAATGACGCAATTCACGCAGAGCTACAAGCACTGGGGACTTGATGTGGGGATTCCTATCAAGAATATTTAATCCTCTAAAACTTTAGAAGAGCAGGATGGACTTTGAGAACTGGTGCAGGTGATCATGCGCTGCTTGCCGCAGTCACCCACGTGTTTCCTGCAAGCGAAGTCGCAGTCTTTGGAAGCTTTTTACGTTAAATATCGTTTAAAATTCTTCAGAACCCTGTTTTGCGAGACGTAATCTGTTACTGGTTTGTTTGGTGCGCATAAGTGGAAAGTATAAAACATTTTTTATAAAACGGGTAGGCTGAGAGAAGTAATATTGTTGCAGATGCCTTTATGCTCCGTCCGTACAATGAAAAAAGCAGTAGTTGTGACGCAAGTATAAAATTTTTTTCACACAGACCAGATCGAACGCTTCTAGAGAGCCTTAGCAACAGAAACTTTCTAATCGCTAATGTGATATTACAGTGTTTACAAAAAGGGACATCGTCTTCTTCAGAATGCTTCTTTAATCGTCAAGTATTTTTGCCTTTTCTTGAAACGTAATGTATTTAGCTTACCAAAATTCATTCCAATCCCTCGACGTACTCAATGTGTCAAACAAAATTCACGATTAGGTTCTTCAGATGTTGCTGTGAAGAATCAAATAGTTATTCATCATAAATTCACATTAGCTTCTCTGATACCTTCGAAATAAATATAATTAGAACTATTTGGCTACCATAAACCACTGATTTTTTCCGTAGTTAACATTCTGCTCTCAATTCAATAGCAAAAACAAAGCATGGTCATAGTTCAGCAGATGTCACCGCATATACGCTTGTTGCAGATTGAGTCTGAGTCGTTTGCTCTGAGAACGGGTGTGGCAGTTCATCATTGCTCCGGTTCAGGTCCTTCCAAAGTGGGTATGAAGCTGAATGAAGTGCAAGGCGAACTAATGAGAACTAGAACTGATAGACTGCAACATTTAACTAACTATACATCTCTTCCTGCATGTGGATACAAAATTTATTGAGAACTTCATGGCAACTTACGTAAGAAGCTCATTACTTAGTAAGTAACCTAGAGGCATTTTAGCAAATTACGCATTTTCCAGTCTTAGCAATTTATGTGGTAGCAAAACAACAAGCTGCAAAATAAGTAATTCAATAAAGACCTACCGTTAATATTACTTAAGCAATAGACTTAAAATAAAAAATTGCCGGTGAATTTTTGCGGTAACTGGCTCAATTGGAACAAAGTACGAGCTCTTGGCTAACGACGCTCCAAACTATAGGGGAAGGGGAGTATTTCATCATTAGCTTCTCAGAAAATCACTTTTGAAAGGACGGACACTTGTCAAGAACAAGTGAGAGAAGGGCCATCCTAACAAAAAGCCCATTTCGAGCTTGTCGGAAGTACGCTGCCCGCTCATCACTATCGATTTCTTTGTCTATTTCAACCACCCGAGGCAGTGGGTGCATCACGATAGGAAAACGCCGGACCAAATCTAAATTGAACTCCATAAAATAAGGTACAGCCTTATCTGAAAACTTTCAGGAAAATTAGGTGAAAAAGTTTTTCTGAGAAACTAACTTCTTCCAAGACTTCGTAATCGTGAAGCTCCATCTAGTAACTTTTGTGTCAAAATAAAGCGACCTTTCAGCGCTTCGTACTCTTCAGGACAAGTGAAACGCTCCTTCTGAACTCTAGT